CGCCCCCGCCTTGAATGTGGCGTGCCGCTCCGGCGGCCCGTGTGAGCCGCGGCGGCCGGTCGCTATGCCATCTCGCGTGACGCCGGCGAATCGACCAGACGTAAGAGTGACCCTTCGCCGGAGAGACCTTTGGTACGGGCACAGGTGGGTGCCCAGCTGGCTGACAACGAAGCGGGAGCAACGGCTTGCGCGCCCAGGTCTGGTCCCCACGCGGCCCCCCCAAAAAGCCGCGCACCAAAGGTCACTCTTACCCAGGGCCACTCTTGCGTGTAGCCGAGCGAAGGCGCTCAAGGCTGAACTCTGCGGCGCAGGAGCACCGATGGGCACGGCAACGGCCTTGGACCCGGCCGAATTCGACCTTCACCGATCGGGGCCGCGATCGGTGCAAGGTCGAAAGATCGGTGCGGTTGCGCGCGCCGACGCCGCGCACGAACCCACCGTCCGCGTCGCCCCAACATACCAATACTCTGTGCGCGCCGCCCCCCCCCCCACTGGGGGCGGCGCGCGCATCGAGAAATCAGGGCTCGAGCTAAACGGTGTTTGGGCAATTTCGTGGACCGTTTTCGTTTTGACTTCGTTTTGCAGCAAATGTGGAACGAAGACAGAACTAGGGATGACGAAACCAGAACTAAAACGGAAAACACCGCTTAACTCGAACCCTGCGAGAAATTTTGCAGTACATGCTTCGAGGCGGGCGCTTGCTGGCCGTGCGCTCGGACAGCGATATATATATATATATACATATATATATATATATATATACATATATACACATTTTACATTTGTGTATATATATATATACACACTACAATATGGTTCCGCTATGTTCGGGGCTGGACAGGACCCCCAACAGTGACACGTCGATTGATAAACTTGCCGTTTTCGGTTCGCGAGAGGGCGCCGTGGCCGTCATTTTCCAGGCTTGCGCCCGCCAGGTTTGGGCCTCAGGTCGTTTTCACTAAACCACGTTTTGCTAAAGGGGGGTCTGTCCATCCCCGATATCTGCGCGTCGGAGGTGGACAGACCTCCTACCCTGACACGTCGATGAAGGAACTGGCTGTTTTAGGTTCGCGAGAGGGCGCCGCGGCCGTCATTTTTGCGGGTCCAGGTCCGTCGGTTTCGGTCCCAGGCCGTTTTCACTGAGGGGAGGTTTATTAAAGGGAGGTTTGTCCACCGCCGAATGCGGGTTGGACGCACGCCTCCGAGGATGACACATAGTACTAGTACGTCCCTTTGCTTCCCACATCGTGTATCGTTGCCCCATCAGGTGATGCTCGGTAGCAAATCATGGGAGCCTGGTTTACCCTCTTAATTCCGTACCTAGCGTCGACTAGCGTCGATCAGCGTCTGGAGTCGTGTGATGGCGCCGATTTGGCGTCGATTCAGCGTCGATCTAGCGCCCTTTCAGCGTCGATCTAGCGTCGACTCAGCGTCGAGGAGCGCCGCTTCGCAAGAACCGACAAGATGAGACGGGAGGCCCCCACGAGTTGCCACCGAAGGTGATGATGGCCTACGGCACCCTCGGGCCGCAGGCCGTCGGGCGCGGGGAGCACCGGCTCGCGGGCGTGCTCATCCTGCGCGCCTGGGGCCTCTGCGCCGCGCTGCTGCTGCCGGTGGTGGCTAGCTGGGGGTGGGCGGAGCCGCTCCTCGTGCTGCTCGGGCAGGACCCGAGCAGTGGCAGAAGCGTGCCGGCTCGCCTGCACCACCAAAGCATGTTCGAAGAATTTGTTGGTGGTCTGCACGACGTGTTTCCAGCAAAGTCCTGGCTGAGACTGTCCTGTTTCAACGTGCCGGGCGTATGCTCGAAGGACACGGTGCCTGTTCTTACATCTTGGGGTTCTAGGAGCATGTCGTGGTAGGCCTCTGGGAATGCCGGGGCGGTCGGTACCTGCTCAAAGGACCCGCTGGTGGCGAGCCAGTCGGCCGCGTTCCTGGGCATCTTCCGGCTGCAGCTGCCTTTGTTCCTCTCGTACGAGGCCTCGCCATGTGGGCACCGGGTCTTGAGGAGGAGGAGGAGGAGGAGGAGGAGGAGGAAGGAGGATGGAGGATGGAGGATGGAGGATGGAGAACGGAGGATGGAGGACCGAGGATTGAGGATTGAGGATGGGCATGGCAACCGGAGAACAAATGCTGCAAGGAGGATGAGGAGGATGAGGAGGAAGAGGAGGAGGAAGAGGAGGAGGAGGAGGAGGAGGAGGAGGAGGAGGAGGAGGAGGAGGAAGGAGGAGGAGGAGGAGGAGGAGGAGGCTACTACGAATGCGCCTCGGCGGGCCGTCCACGGCCCGAAAACAAACGATGCCTCAAAAGGCTTCCTCTTCAGAGCCTGCATCCGCGGATGCTGCATCCCACGGCGGAGAAATCCCCTTCTCGCGCCGGCGCGCCCCAAGCGCAGCTACCCAGCCTTCGTCCTCCCGACGAAGCCCGAAACATGACAGAATGTACTCTCGAGTGGCCGGTTGGCGCGGGAGGTTGCGCCCGCTGGCACTGCGGCCGCGGGCGGGCTCTGCCCCCACGGCCCCGCGGACGATTCGATCTTCGGCGTGCCCTTTGGTCCCCAAGGAGCGCTGCAGGACGAAGTCGGTCGTCGCGCGAGGGCGCGGGTGGTACCTCGAGCGTCCAGTGTTTGCGGTTGGCCCTGTAATGAGGGTATTCCCGTTTGGTCACCCGGCGGAGCTGCTCCTGAGCTCCGTGGCACGGCTTGGGGAGCTGGAGCTCCTCCCAGAGAATTGGGAGGGGCTGGAGGGCAGGTGCGCCCGGCCTCGGCCCCCATGCCACCGCCCCCGTGCCCGTCGTGGAGAGCGCCCTCCCGTCGGACTCCCCGACGGCGGCGCGCTCGGCCAAGCGGCGGACCTGCGTGGGCGGCATCCGGGCGAGGTCCAATCTGGACGCCCGATATGGGTACGGAAAGAACAGCAGTTCCTGTTCATTCTGAACAGGACTCGCTTTCGGTGTCGCCGCGGCCTGTGTCCATTTGAGACAGAAGGCCGCATGCCCAACAGCGGCCGCTGTTGGTTTGGGACAACATTTGTTGTTGGGCATTGTGCCCATTGTTTCCGTGCCCATTTCGGGTGTCCAAATCCAAGGAGACGCCCTCGTGGGTGCGCATGCGATCGGCGCCGTCGAGCTGCCAGCGGAGGCGGCGTAATTAGCGTCGACGCCGCGACGTCCACTGGCGAGGATGGCCACCCTCCAGGGGGCCTTCGCCTGGTCGAGCTTGCCCAGCGCCTTCGCCAATACGGTCTGAAAGATCTGGCGCTTCGGCACGCCGTCCCATATCGCCGCGGCCCAGGTGCCGACCACGTCGCCGGAGTGGACGACGAAGGGGTCGACCCGTCGCCCAGTGCGGTGTGAATGGAGGCGTAGACCGACCGAGGCGCCTCGAGGGAGCCTCCCCATCGCCGCAGCAGCGCCAACCCGGAGAGCGTGCAGCTGGGCGTCGCTGAAGCCCATCACGGCGCCCCCCCATGGAGGATGGAGAGTGGAGGATGGAGGATGGAGAATGGAGGATGGAGGATGGAGGATGGAGGAAGGAGGATGGAGGATGGAGGTTGGATGAGGAGGAAGGGAAACGGGTCCTGAGGGCAGTCGCCGTCTTCGGGCCCCCGGGGCCCTCCACGGACCCCCGGGACCGTCAGAGAACGACTCGGGATGGAAGCAAGCAAATCGTTCTGGGAGAAGGCCCCGGGGTCTAGGACCCGTTTCTCTCACGGCCCGTCGCCCACGCCTGAAGGCCGCGCGCCAGTTCGCTTTGTCACAGGGCATCGCCTGGCCCTTCGCTCTGATCGTGCTGCTCAGCGTGCTCCTGGTCTACGTCGCCCTGGACCCCCTGCTGGACCATTTCGGCTTCGAGGGCTCCGCCTGGATGATATTCTTCGTGACGGCTTTCCAGATGGTCGCGGCGCTCGGCTATGCAGTTGCGCTGCCGCGCGATTCCTCCACAGATTTCGGGCGGGCGCGGGTGGTGAGATGACTTTGGCGAGGGGCGGGGATCGGACTTCCCTTCCCCATGTTTTTTTTGTCGGGGCCGTTGTCTGCCTCTAAGGTCAACAACGCAGGGAATTGGCCAGACACGTGCTCGCATCTTGGGTGTTTTTTTTTACCACCAGGAAGAGGGCAGACATTGTTTCGATACTTCTCTGGGTGCTCGAGATCAGTTTTGGGATGCAGTCCAGAAGCACGACGGGGACAACAGGCGGCTCGGTGTGTCGGGGGGCCCGGACTATCGCCCCACAACGAGGAGGAGGAGGAGGAGGAGGAGGAGGAGGAGGAGGAGGAGGAGGAGGAAGAGGAGGAGGAGGGGGAGCACGAGGAGGAGGAGGAGGAGGGGGGGGGGGAGGAGGGGGAGGAGGAATCAACAGAAGAAGACGAATCACGAAAATTATACTAAACAATCAAGACGAGGAGGAGGAGGCGGAGGAGGAGGAGGAGGAGGACGAGGAGGAGGAGGAGGAGGCGGAGGAGCAGGAGGTGGGCTGTCCGACCCTCATAGTCGTATTCAGTGCACATCGATTGCCAGGACTTGGTCGGAGGATGCAACAGGTCCTACGCCGCCCTGTCAAGAGCCAGCCCGCTGTCAGAAGTATGGTGTCCTCTTGACAGGTCAAGAGTACCTGCGTTTGGATTGAAAAGGTCAAGGCCCACGTCCAGCCTGAGGGCTCTGGCATTGCAGCTCGTCGCAGGGCGGGCAGCGACAGGGCCGACGAGTATTTCGCGAGAGGTGGAGAACACTTACACCATGCGCGCGTGCCTCAAGACATCCATCTCCTATGACGTGCTGGGAGGAGGAGGAGGAGGAGGAGGAGGAGGAGAAGGAGGAGGAGGAGGAAGCTGCAGTAGGCATGCGTCAACTTCAAGGACATATCCCGACGGCAGCAGAGAAGAGCCTCCCCGGGATCTGGCCGAGGAGCCCCGGGGTCCCGAGGCCGAAGTCTTTATGCCCCACGGCCGTCCCCACCGCCGTGTGTTTTGCAATAGCTCGTGCTGGACGTGCCTCCAAAACATTCCAACGCCCAGGCATATCTCTGTTGTGGAACTTGTTTTGGATCAAGTTTTGGAACCTGTTATGTTTGATTTGTCGTCCAAAATCCCCCTGTAGGGGGGCACGCCCGATCAAACTGCAGGGTGGAGGAAGCAGGTCTGCCCGTGGTCTTGGCTCTTGGGTGCGGGGCCCGCACCTCGGGGCTCCCCGTCCGCCTGCGGGCCCCCTGCGGGCAAATTCGGGAGGGAAAGAGACACGCAGGCACAATTGATCGTCGACTCCCAGGAAGATATGTCGGGGGCGGGCAGACACCCCAACAGTGACACGTCGATTAGTGAATTGTCCGTCTTCGGTTCTCGAGAGGGCGCCGCGGCCGTTCTTTTCCAGGCTTGCGCCCGCCAGGTTTGGGCCTCGGGTCGTTTTCACGAAACCACGTTTTACTAAAGGGGGGTCTGTCCATCCCCGGCAAGTGCACCAGATCGCTCCCAGCGCAGAAGGTTCCAGGCATACGTGCAGCGCCAACTCCCAGCTTAGAGCAGCGCTGCTAGAAGTTCGCCCTTCCCCCCCCCCGGTCAGATCACACAAGTTTTGCGGCTGTAGGGTTAAGTCGGGCCTGTCCCTCTACAGGAGGAATATTCAAACATAGTCCAAAGATGGTCTGCAGACGATTTTTTTTGTGTATGTGTTTGGATATTTTGGGGCATTGTTTGACTATTTTTGATTTTTCCTCCACAATCCCCCAGTAGGGGGGCACGCCCGACCAAACTGTAGGGTGGAGGAAACAGGTCTGCCTGTGGTCTTGGATCTTGAGTACGGGGCCTGCACTCCGGGGCTGCGTCCGCTTGCGGGCCCCCTGCGAGCAAATTCAGGAGGGAAAGAGACACGCAGGCACAATTGATCGTCGACTCCCAGGAAGATATGGGAAAACATGGGAAGTGTGTGGGGGAAGACGAAAACACGGATCATATGGGAACATATGGGGAATCTTATTAGTTGTGTCTATTCATTTGTGTGTCCCAGGGCCCTTTCACATTTTTGTAAAAACAAATCAGCGTGCGCAGACCTTGGAGAGGAGGTTCCCCTGTCTCGAGGGCCTGCGCCTCTCGAAGGCCTGGCCCCTGACCCGCCCAGCAGCTGACTCTGAGGCGGCCGAGAGGTGGTGCCAGTTGGCTAAGTAGTTCGTTGTTCCATTTTCGACCCCCATTGGTCTACGCACCGTCTGGAGGTTGTCTCGGCCCTCCTGCCCCTGCGGTGCGGAGGGTCTGGGGCAGCCAGTTGCCTGGGCCTCCTCCCTGCGCCTGTACGGCGGCCCGTGGCCTTCGGGCTCCGCCCTGCTGGTGCGGGGGGGGGGTGGTCGGTGGCGTTTGCGGGCCCTTCCGCGCATCCCCTTCGCTCGAGGATTGTTGGGGCCAGGAGCGAGCCGCTGGAAAGAGGGCGGTCCGACGCACACCACCCGCTGCAAGCGCGGTGGCGGACCTGCGCTGCCAGAGGCCCGGCCCCGCCACCGGGGCCTTCCCGGGCTGGGCGGGGCTGCTTGAGGCGTGGCACAGCCAGGGGGAGCTGCTGAGCTTCGCGCGCCTCGCCCTGCCGGGCGTGCTCTCCATGACCGAATGGTGGTTCTCCGAGCCTCCCAAAGTTCTGGGATGAAACTCCTGGGAGGTCGAATGCTGTCTCGGCGCTGGCATTTTCGCGGTCGATCGCCGGCCTAATCTGGGCTTGTCCGGCTCAATCCGGCCCAATGCCGCTGAATGCGGTTTCATCCAGCTCAATTCCGGGCTTAATTTGGCTTGGTCTGGTCAAGTGGTTTTCTAATCTGGCGCCTAACTTCTTTTCGTCGTTGTAGCGAAGACTCCCCAGGAGTTGCTTCCTAACAAATTCGGGGGCGACCAAGAAGGGGGTGATGACCAGAGTGGTGGTGGACATCATGGCTGGCCCATATTTTATGGTGCCCCTTCTTCTTCCCATACGTTCTTCGGTCTTTCTGGGCCGCACATGCCTCGGGCCATGATTTGCACCCCCCCCTCATGAACGCCCCCAAAGTAGATGGGGTCGGAGGATCGCACCGCATCGCCGATGCATCGGCCACGCTGCTCGATGTGGAGCCCGATTCTTTCCACGCCGACGTTGCCGATGTATCGCTTCAAGCAGTGGTGAAGCGTCCCGGCGTGCCTATAGTCCCACCAAACAATGTTCTAAGAACTGTTCGTGGTTTCTACGAACTGTTCTTAGAACCTTTCTGACTGCCCGCCGCTCGCTCGCACGACGCACGTTTGCTCGGTGCGCGCGGGGGCCGGTCAATCCTTAGTGAATGCTCTGTTGCCGATGCGCCGTCCGGGCGCCTGGCTTCTCTGTCTGTCTGTCTGGGTTTGTGTTCCAAGAACAGTGTTTTTGCTCTTAGAATACTCTTGGGTTCTAAGAACATTTCGTGCTTGGCCTATGGGAATGCCAGGACGGTCGGTCCCTGCTCAATCGCTGGCGAGAAAAACGAACATGGCATGAAAACCGAACACCGAAAACCAAGGAAACGAAAACGAAACCAATGGATGGAATTCAACATGGGGAAAGAACACAAAGATACGAAGATGAAATGAACAACGAAACGCACTGTTTTGCTCGAGCCCTGCTGCAGGTTCTGGGAGGTGACGTGCTTCCGCGCCGGGACCTTCGGCGCGGAGCAGCTGGCGGCGCACTCTCTGATCTACATGCTGGTGCCTCTGCTCTTCCAGGTGCCGCGGGGCATCCGCGACGGCCTCGGCTCGCGAGCCGGCCACCTGCTCGGCGAGGGCAGAGGAGCGAGAAACCAAAAACCGCAGCCTAATACGTACCGTTGAGTCGGGCCTGTCCCTCTACAGGCGGAATGTTCAAAAGTAGTCAAAAATGGTCAGGCGCCGATTTTTTTTGACCATTTTGGGGTATGTTTTTGAGTATTTTTAATGTTTCGTCGAGAATCCCCCGTAGGGGGACACGCCCGACTTAGGCGTACGGTTGCGGAACTCTGCGCGGAGTTCTCGGGTCGGCGTTGGGCCCCCCTGGCGGCGCCTGCGGCGCTGCCCCCAGGGCGCCCCGAGCGACGGGGGAGGGTGTCCCGGGCCGATGCGAGAGGCCCGCGCGGAGCGCCGAAAGGCCATGGCCTGTGCAGCTGTTTCTTCCTCTTAGTTCGGCAGAAAATCATGGGAGCCGCGTCTGTCCTCGACATTTCGTCTTCGGAGAGCAGCAGCGTTCGCCAGCGTGCAGATTTCGCTTCCATGAGCGCCGATGTCGCGTCGATCAGCGTCGTTTCGCGCCGGGTAGCGTCGGCCAGCCTCGGTTCGCAAGAGCCAGCAAGATGACGCGGGATCGTCTTCACCCGAACATGCGTATATACGTATCTATCATGTCTGCGTCGTCCCCAAGGAGGCGACGTTCGCGGTTAGAACTCTTATAGCATATGCGCGTTGGCGGGTGTTTTCTGGCCATACCGCTGCTGCACGATGGTTTTGCTATATGCGATCTGGTCGGACGAACTCATCGAAAGGAGGGCACATCGTGTTAATATGTCCGTCTGCGTCCCTAGGGGTCTCCCATGAGTCGCCACCGAACTGTAAGAGGAGCCGCGGCCCGCAACGTCACGCTCGGCGCCGTCCTCGTCGGCACGTGCCTCGTCTGCTTCGATGCCGCCCTCGCGTCCGCGTGGCGGGCCGAGTACATCTCGCTCATGACGGAGCCGTCCGGCCAGGTGCGCCACGTCGAATATCTCGGCACGGCAGCAGTTTTTGTTCATTGGGGGCCGACTTCGCCGTCGTGCGCGCGCAAGTTTCCCGCGTCCGTCATAGGAGAAAGCGCCACCGATACTGTGAAGCTTCTCCTGGCGTCCCCGTTTTGGGGGCCTCCTGCGAGGCCCTCGTTGCCGCGTCTGGATTCGCCTGGGAATTATCGTCAGAGCGCACCCAGGGAGAGGTGAGGGAAGTACTTTGGGTGGGGAAATTCATCGAGGGGTGAGCGACTATCCTTCCGACGGAGCTTGCCCCCCCCCCCCCTCCTCCTCCTCCTCCTCCTCCTCCTCCTCCTCCTCCTTCCTCCTCCTCCTCCTCCTCCTCCTCCTCCTCCTCCTCCTCCTCCTCCTCCTCCTCCTCCTCCTCCTCCAACCCCCCTTCCACCCGTTCCAACAGCACGTGCATAATTCCACTAGCGGGTCCAAGGGGGGGGGGCGATTAGTGCCCCATCCAGAGCACCTTTTTGTTTCTCCAGTCAGGCCGCGCATGAGCAATCTCTGCTCCACGTGGTGTGCCACGTTGATGGCCCGCGTATGCCGCGGCGTACCCTGGATAGGGCATTTGTCAAGGGGTGGCGATTAACCTTCCGAGTGAGCTTACCCAATCCCGCCCTTTCTCCATCCTCCTCGCCCTCCTCATCCTCCCCCTCTTCCTCCAAACCAACCTCCACTCGTGCCGACAGCACGTGCCCAACCCCCCAATCAGGGCTAGACCTAAACAGTGTTTTTGGTGATTTCGTGGGCCGCTTTCGTTTCGACTTCGTTTTGCGGTAAAGGCGGATTCGAGACAAAAGCGAGGGAGAACGAAAACAAAACGAAAACGAAAAACACCGTTTAGGTTCAGCCCTGCCCCCCATCGGATCCAAGGGGGGGCGATTATTGCCCCATCCAGAGTAGTGTCGCTATGCCTTCTTGCGTATGACCCCTGTTGTTTTGCGTCGCCCAGGTGGCGCTGTTGTGCGAAGAGGTTTGGCCCTACGTCACGTTCTTCCTCGTCGTGGACGGCCTCTTCCCTCTCCAGCACAGGGGAACCAACAATCTGCACGAGCATGCACTTCTGGAGCTCCGCGACGGTCTCCTGGATCTGCGTTGGCCCCCCCCCCGGGCCCCGGCGTGCGGAGCGCGCCGGGGGCGGCGCGGGACGTGCTGCCGAGGGGGGTCCAGGCGCCGATGCAGGAATCTCCGCGGGCCTCCGACAGGGCACGTCCGTGCTATTTTTCCTTCCTCTAACATCAGGGTGTCTGCAACGTGCTCGGTCTGCAGTCGCGGGTATCGGCCTCGATGATCGTTTCCCTCTGGGTGGTGGGGCTGCCGTCCGTGCTCTATTTGACGACCGACTTCCTCAGCCTGTGGCAGGTCTTCCCCTTCCTCTACATCCTGCTGGACCTCCTCCTGCTGCTAGCGTGGGCCTTGGTGGACTGGGACTTGGCGGCACAGAGGGCTTCGTGCAAGCTTCAGGCAATGGGGAGATTCAATTCAGCTTCGGCGCTGGTGGTATACCCGTGGTCGAAAACTTGTCCAATCTGGCACAATCCCGTTTGATTCGGCTGAATCCACATTCATCCTGCGTACCATCTGGCCTATTCCCAGGCTCAATCCAGCTCGATTCGGCCGGATGGCCGCGTCAGTGGGCTCCATGAGTATAGCTCTGGACCGATCTCACGAGGACATCCCCCCAGACCCCCGACGCCGTGATCTTTCATGACCTCAGAAATCTGGGCCTCTTCCCAGGGACCGGCTCCTCATCCCGAGTCGTGTCAGCACGGTCCCGAGGCCCAGTGAGGGCCCCTGGAGGCCGAAGATTGGGAAGATGGGGAAGGAGGAGGAGGAAGAGGAGGAGGAGGAGGAGGAGGAGAAGGAGGAGGAGGGGAAGGAGGAGGAGGAGGAGGAGGACGAGGAGGAGGAGGAGGGGGGATGATGATGATGATGATGATGATGATGATGATGATGATGATGATGATGATGATGATGATGATGATGATGATGATGATGATGAGGAGGGGAGGAGGAGGAGGAGGAGGAGGAGGAGGAGGAGGAGGAGGAGGAGGAGGCGGAGGCCAGCTCGAGGGGGTCTGGGCCAGCAGCTGCCTCCCGGCCAGGCGGGGCCGGCGCCCTCCCCGTGCGCTCGTGCCCGCCACGCCCGGGCGGCGGCCTGGGCCGCCGGCGAGGCCGAGGGCGCCGCCGCCGCCGAGGGCCGGCCCGGGGCGGCCGGGCCTGCCGCGGCGTAGAGGCGGCCGGGCGCCCCAGGCCCGCGCGGGCGTCTGAACCTAAGCTCCTTCACACAGCAGCGCCACCGGAGCGACGCAAAGCAGCAGGGGTCGTACGCAAGAAGGCACAGCGACAGGCCGTGACGTAAGTACGTTGCAGACGCCCTGATGTTAGAGGAAGGGAAACTAGCACGAGCGTGCCCTGTCGGAGGGCCCGCGGGGATTCCTGCATCGGCGCCTGGACCCCCCGTGGCAGCACGTCCCGCGCCGCCCCCGGCGCGCTCCGCACGCCCGGGCCCGGGGGGTGCCAACGCAGATCCAGGAGACAGTCGCGGAGCTCCAGAAGTGCATGCTCGTGCAGATTGTTGGTTCCCCTGTGCTGGAGAGGGAAGAGGCCGTCCACGACGAGGAAGAACGTGACGTAGGGCCAAACCTCTTCGCACAACAGCGCCACCTGGGCGACGCAAAACAACAAGGGGTCGTACGCAAGAAGGCATAGCGACACTGCTCTGGCTGGGGCAATCATCGCCCCCCCTTGGATCCGATGAGGGGCAGGGCTGAACCTAAACGGTGTTTCTCGTTTTCGTTGTGTTTTCGTTCTCCCTCGCTTTTGCCTCAAATCCGCCTTTACCGCAAAACGAAGTCGAAACGAAAGCGGCCCACGAAATCACCAAAAACACCGTTTAGGTCCAGCCCTGTGGGAGGGAAATCTTCTGATTGTGCCCTGGTCCGAAGTCCAGCTTGATCCGGCCCTATCCCGCTTAGAATCCCGCTCAGCACCGCAAAATACGGCTTCATCCCGCTCCAGCCGAGGCCCACTCCGGCGCAACAGCCCCGCGATATGGGGCCTATGTCGGGTCGGGCGAAAGGGGGGGATTGGGAAAGGGGGGGTTACGAAATTTGCTGCATGCAGCTGGTTTCGGCCTCACCGAGGGGCCCATTCCTCGATACATGGGCGCCTTCTGGCGCCGGGAGGCGCCGGGAAAATCAGCTACGTGAGCTGATTCTCAAACCCCCCCTTTGCTATCCCCCCCTTTCGCCCGACCCGAAGGGCGCCGCCGCCGAGGGCCGGCCTTGCACGGGGCGGGCGCCGATGGCCGCGGCGCAGAGGCGGTCGGGCGCCCATGGGCGCGCGCGTGCGGCTCGGCGCCGCGCGCCTCGGGCCGGGCGGGGCGCGGCCGAGATGTGGGCGCGGCGCGGAGGCCCGCGCGGGGCAGGCGAAGGTTTAAGTCGGGCCTGTCCCCCTACAGGGGGATTTTCGATGCAAAGTATACAATATCCCAGGAATTTATAAAAATAGTCCAAACATAGTTTGGGGACTCTCTTTTGAGTATTTTTGGATATTTTTGGAGCATTTTGGGGGTATTTTTTTGTTTGTTGAAAATCCCTCTGTACGGGGACACGCCCGACATAAGCGAAGAGAGGCGCTGGCACACACTGTGTGTGAAGTCCGCTCGTATCCCTATTCTATCATCACGTACCGCAGCTGTATCGGCTCAGGTATGGGCACCAGCACTGACAGTGCACTGGCCCCCTGTGCAGTGCCCTGGGGAAGGAGTCTCTTCCTCCTTGCCGCAGTACCTACGGGCCCCGTATAGGAACGGCCCCTCGGCCGTCCCCCTATACACACACGCAGGACTTCCGCCCTCCAGCATGCTCGCAGCGGCGGGCTGGTCGAGGCAGCAGCTGGTCTTTGAGGACAGGTTCGGTCGAGCAGTGGCGGAGCGGCCTGGCGTGCCTATATAGTCCTGACCAAGCAATGTTCTAAGAACTTGTTGTGGTCTGCGCGGCATGTTCTTAGAACCTTTTCTGGCGGAGTCGGTCTTGTTTTATCACGTTGGGTTTCTGTTATAAGAAAATTGTTGTTGCTCCTAGAGATTTTTTTAGGTTCTAAGAACATTTCGTGGTAGGACTATGGGAATGCCGGGGCGGTCGGTCCCTGCTCAATTCAGGGGGAGGCGTTGCGGTGGTGTTCCAGCATCAGTGTGCCTTCGGCAGCCGCGCCTCGCCGAAGGCGCTGCGGGGGTGCTCGGGTTGTTCCCCGCGGCTGCCAGAGGCCCGAAGTGTGACCCGACAACATCCGAGGAAAAATCAGTCGGAGGAGGGCGACTTGAGACAACGGCAACTGGCTTTCGGTGGGCCCCTCGTCGCCACGGTTGGACGCAGCTGTGAACATTGGAGCGGTCCTGGCAGGGGCCCGAGGAGTGATTGTGAGCTGCCGATGCCTCAACTCGCCCTGCTCTGACACTCAATTTCCTCGTACATCATATTCAGTGGCGAGTAACTTGTCGTCGCCACACCCGACGTGTCGGGGATGACTAAGGGACTGGCATCAGTCAAGGGCTCCAAAAATGCACCTAGTGCTCTGGATTACGCGGCGCTGTGCGTTGAACCTTCTGTGGGCTGACAGGATAAACCCTGCGTGTCGCGCGCGTCGCGCGGCTTACGGGCGGCTCTGTGTTTTTTGGGGATTCGCAGGCGGTTTACAGACCACGCGCTTGTGCCCCTGCGAGCGCCGGCGAAGCCTTGTATCGGCGGTTCCATAGGGCCTGAAGCATACGGCAACAGCTGTGTGAGCAACAGAGACCGTCGCTTCGCGACGACAAGGTCAGGAACCTCGCCAGGACGAGGAGGAGAAGGCGGAGGCGGAGGCGGAGGTGGATGATGATGGTGATGATGATGATGGTGATGGTGACCAAGATGCTGATGAGGATGCTGGTGATGCTGCTGCTGTTGTTGATGGCGATCATGATGATGATCATGATGATCATGATCATAATCATGATCATGATGACGATGATGCTGATGATGATGTCGATGATGACGATGATGATGATGAGGATGATTATGATGCTGATGCTGATGCTGCTGCTGCTGATGATACTGCGGATGATGAGGTGGAGCAGGAGGAGGAGGAGGAGGCAAATGATGCTGATGATGATAATGCTGCTATTTTTGATGATGATGCTGATGCTGATGCTGATGCTGATGATGATGATGATGCTGATGATTATGATGCTGATGCTGATGCGGATGACTGATGATGATGCTGCTGCTTTTGATGATGATGCTGCATATGATGATGATGCTGCTGATGATGATGCATATGATGAGGATGATCATGCTGATGATGATGATGCTGCTGATGATGATGATGATGATGATGCATCTGATGAAGATGCTGCTGCTGCTGATGATGGTCATGATGATGATGATGATGATGATGATGATGATGATGATGATGATGAGGAGGAGGAGGAGGAGGAGGAGGAGGAGGAGGAGGAGGAGGAGGAGGAGGAGGCAGAGGACCTCGCCGCAGCCGCCGCCCTGCGTGCCTGCACCCTCGCCGCCAGAGAACACGCACGGGGTCCAGCTGTTTTGGCCCAAGGCGCTCCGCACGCCCCGATCCCCCCCGCCCGCTCCCGCCGGAGCCGCTGCCGCCCGCCCCCCGAGAGATGCCCACCCGCTCCGACACGGCGCGCCCCGCGGCCGTCGCGGCGGCCGCCGGCGCCCTGGGCCTCCTGGCCACCCAGCGCGCCGGCGGCGGAGACGCCTTCCTCGCCCCGTCCGCGCAGGCCCCGGCGGCGCTCGGCGGCCCCTGCCTGCCGGCGGCGGCCGCGGCCGCCGCGGCCGCGGAGGTGCCGCAGCCCAGCGGCAGCGCCGTGGGCGCGGCCGGCGGCGTGGCCTGCGGCCTGGCGGCGCTCGGCGCCGCGCGCGCGGGCGGCCGGAGGAGGAGGGGCGCGAGGGCGCGCGAGGTGGGCGTGGCCATGCGCACGTCGACGCTGGACCAGCTCAAGGAGCTGTCTGGGAAGGTGGGCATTCCCCTGGAGAAGTACCGCAACATCGGGATCATGGCCCACATCGACGCGGGCAAGACCACCACCACGGAGCGCATCCTGTTCTACACGGGCCGCGAGAAGTCGATCGGCGAGGTGCACGAGGGCGAGGCCACCATGGACTGGATGGAGCAGGAGCGCGAGCGCGGTATCACCATCACCAGCGCGGCCACCACTGCCTTCTGGGACGGCCACCGCATCAACATCGTGGACACACCCGGGCACGTCGACTTCACCCTGGAGGTGGAGCGCTCCCTGCGCGTGTTGGACGGCGCGGTGGCCGTGTTCGACGGCGTCGCGGGAGTGGAGCCCCAGAGCGAGACTGTGTGGCGCCAGGCGAACAAGTACAACGTGCCCCGGATGTGCTTCGTGAACAAGATGGACCGCGACGGGGCGGACTTTTTCAGGAACATCCAGATGATGAAGGACCAGCTCGGCTGCGACCCGGTGCCGATCCAGCTGCCCATCGGCAGCGGGAAGACCTTCGAGGGCCTCTATGACCTGGTCTCCCAGAAGTCTGTGATCTGGCTCGGGGACAAGCTGGGCGCGGAGTTCGACGTGCGCGACGAGATCCCCGCGGGCATGGAGGACCTGGTCGCGGAGTACCGCGAGAACCTCGTCGAGCGGGCGGTGGAGCAGGACGAGGCGGTGATGGAGGCGTACCTGGAGAGCGGCGAGCCCCCCTCCGTGGCCGACCTCAAGAAGTGCATCCGCAAGGCTCGGCGGCGAGCCGGGGGGGGGGAAGCCGGCGGCGAGCGAGGGGGGTCTCGAGGTTCCAGGTTCGCGGGGGTTGCGGGTGAGGCGGAGGCGGAGGAGGAGGAGGCGGAAGAGGAGGAGGAGGAGGAGGAGGAGGAGGAGGAGGAGGAGGAGGAGGAGGAGGAGGAGGAGGAGTTGCTGGTGCGAGGTTCGAGGCTCTCGGGCGTCATTTGCCGGTTCTCGGCGGTGTTCCGGCCTCGGCAGGCGCTGCAGCAGCTGCGCCTCGCCGAGAGCGTTCCGGGGGTGCCCGCATCGTCCCGAACGGCAGCCGGATAGCCGAGTTGTGACCCCCAGGCCACCAGGCGTTCGCGAGGGGGCGAGCCTTCCTCAGGAGGCTCTGGGTTCCCTGCCTTGCTGAGAGGTGTTCCTCAGCCTTCCCCGGAGACGCAGGGTCGTGAGAAGGCTTCCTCATGTGCCTCCATCGCTCGC